GCAGAGGCAGGAGACTCGCTTGAGCCCAGGAGTTGGAGGTTGCTGTGAGCTGTAATGCCATGGCACTGCACCCAGGGGGACAGCTTGAGGCTCTGTCTCAAAACAAAAAAAAAATAATGGCCCCCATTTATGCCCATACCTTAATCCCTAGAACCTATGGACATGTTACCCTACATAGCAAAATGAAGTGGTCAGATATGATTAGCTTAATCATATGGGTCCTTTTATGTTTTTGTTTTTGTTTTTGAGACAAGAGTCTCATTTTGTTGCCCTCAGTAGACTGCTGTGGTGTCACAGTTTATAGCAACTTCAAATACTTGGGCCTAAGTGATTCTCTTGCCTCAGCCTCCCAAGTAGCCAGGACTACAGGCACTCACCACAATGCCCAGCTATATTTTTGTTGCAGTTGTCATTGTTGTTTGGCAGGCCCTGGCCAGGTTTGGTGTATGTGGCTGTTGCCATAACCACTGTGCTACGGGTGCCAACACCTTCATATGGGTCCTTATAAGAGGGAGGAAAGGTTCAGTGCCTGTGGCTCAAGTGGTTAAGGTGTCAGCCACATACACCTAGGTTGGCAGGTTTAAATCCAGCCTGGGTCCGCCAAACAACGACAGCTGCAACCAAAAAATAGCCGGGCGTTGTGGGCAGCTGTAGTCCCAGTTACTTGGGAGGCAGAGGCAGGAGAATCACTTGAGCCCAGGAGTTGGAGGTTGCTGTGAGCTGTAATGCCACAGCATTCTACCCAGGGCGACAGCTTGAGGTTCTGTCTCAAAAAAAAAAAAAAAAAAAAGGGAGGAAGAAGGGTGAAAGTCAGAGACGGAGATATGATATGATGATGGAAGTAGAGACCACAGTGATTTGGGGAAGAGGACACAAACCAAGGAATGCAGGCAGCTTCTAGAAACCTAGATGTTCCACAAGTAGCATAGCACTGCCAACACCTTCCTCTCAGCCTCCTGAGACCCATTTCAAGCTTCTGACCTCCAACAAGTAAAAGACAATAATTTTTTGTTTTAAGCAACTAAGTTTCTAGTAATGTGTTATAGCAGCAATA